TCATACAAAAAAACTGTCCTTCTTCTATATTGCCTATATCATATTGAAGTGGTCAAGAATTTCTCTGAAGATTGATTAGAAGTGTTTTCTATGAAAGTCTAATACTATCAGTCTCGGTAGTGCTTTGAGGTTTTTCTCTGCGCTTGATATGTGTTGAACCAGTCAAGATTGCCGCCAAGAACAAATAAATGCAACTTTTAATAACTGCTTATTAACGTCTCTCTTAATAGTTTTCTAAATCCGCTTTCAAAGTTAATGGTTTTTTAAAATAAGCCAGCAGTAGTGTCAAAAATTTTTTACTCTACTGGTATCTTCCAAAAATCATTTAAAAAACTTATAAAACTGTTGACTGTTATGACATACAGAATCCTTTAATGATCTAATAAAGTATAAATGAAGATTATGTATCGCATAGATAGAATGAACCAGAAGGCGATAATTTTACTAGTTTTGCAGCACATCAGTTCATCTAACAGTTGTCCTTAAGAGACTCAAACCAAAAAAAAGCTTCCTTTTTTTTCATCTATCGGTGTTTAATCATTTGCTTGCAATACTCAATAAAATTGAAATGCTTGCAGAAAAAAAGTAAAAGAAATAAACAAAAATTAGAAAAATAATTTTGTGAAATAAAAGTTCAAAAAAAAGTAATTTTTTGACATTTCAATTAGCTATGGAACAAAAGAAAGCTGCCTAAAATCCAGAGTATTCATCAAAAGAAAAACATTAACAAAAAAAAAAAAGTGGCAGAGGAGTGTTCACGTAAGCACTGCAACATTTTTGGAAGTTTTTTCCGATAAAAGTTGGTTCTCATTAGTTATTTTATCGTAAAAAGAATTCTTTCAATTCAAAATGTTACTGCATTATTCCACTGCTCATTAAAACGATGACATGTATTTAAATCCAGTTAATTATAAAAGTTGAACCAGTTAAACTTTTTATCTTTTTTCCTAGTATTCCGCAACTACTAATCGTCAGTGGTCTTTTCAGCAAGAAAAAGTAGAACAGATTAAGTTTCCCGTACATCCAGTTTTTAAAATCATTAATTTTCTGATATTTGTTTGAAAAAAAAAAAGAAAAACAGATTTTTGGAGAATAGTACTTCAACAGTGAGCTGCAGTATCAGCAAAAAAAAACTGCAGAATTGTAGAATATTATGAATTTTCGCAAACACAGCGTGCAAATAAAAAAAAATTTAAAGTATATCCAGAAGTTAAGCACCAAATTCGTTTAAAACCTAACAGTAATTTGTGCTAAATCTTCTTTTTTCAGCACACTTCTGTTTCCGCTTCTTCCGTAACTATTGCTGTTGCTGTTGCTATTGCTGAAATTTTTCAAACTTTATACACCAGTAGGTTTTGCTATTGCTTTATTACTATTGCTAAAATGCTTATATATAATTTTACTACTACCGTAGCTGCTATAAGAGCAGCATTAGGAACAGTAGAAGCAAACAGGCATAAAATGTTCGTTAACTGTCATCCGGGAATACCAAAGGAAAAACAGAAGAAATAATATGGAAAGTGCCGAAAAAAATTTAGCTTTACAGACAACCTACTGGTGTATAAAGTTTGAAAAATAAAAAAACTTTTATTACTTTCTTTCCGTTGTTTTTTCTTGCTATAGTTTTAAAGACTAGACAGAAGTGGAAATCTAGCGAAAAAATCATGTCAATCATAATGAATGAGAACGTAGCAGAACTATTGTTCTACTGGTTTTGCAATAAAAGAACGGCAAAAAGAGAAAAAAAAATTTGCAATATCCATCGAAAGTAAGCTAAAAAAAGTTAAAAGAATTCTTGTAACTAAACAAAAGAAGAAAGAAAAATCAGATACAAAATTTATTATCTTTATTGCTATTAGTCACCTAATTTTATTTTTAGATGCTTTTTTACAACTACACACTAGAATGTAATCTTAAAGTCACTATAGATAGTGGTGGTGATTCGCCGAATGATAAAGATGACACTTACGGCAGATTCAGTGATAAATCTCTTGCTGAATTATCGGAAACAGCCGAAGAGTGAAAAATGAAAAACAATCTTTATAAACAATATGTTAACTTTTCGTTACTATTGTTGCTGCTAATTTTTTTCGCCTTCTTTCTTCTGCTTTTAAGAAATTAAAACCTCTAGACAACTTACTTTTCAGTAAAAAAATTTTCATAATTTTAAGCATATTTAAGATTTAAGCACAACAACAAAAAAAAAAAAAAAAAAAAAAAAAAAAAAA